GCCAACAACAGAAGGTAGATCACCAAGATACTGCAGTGTAATATTTCACTGGCAATATGACACTAGTGTAATACCACCGCACGTTTGACATCATAACTGTTTACAATCATGCCCTCACAATGTTATTAGGCCGTGACAATGGTATTAGGCCGTGACAATGGTATTTGACCAATTTTGACTTGCGATAATCTTGGTGTCATCGCACTGTCGTTTATTTCACTTGACTTTGTGGCGAGAAATAATAGAATATTAAATTTGTTCCTGTGAAATACGTTTGTTATTAAACCTGTGAAAGATTAAGCATCAAACTCGTTGTCGCTCGCTTGATTCCAAATCATTAACACGTCTATTGAAAATTGTATTACACTGGTGTTCATTTAGTATCCTCAATGTATGCACAATGTATACCTTAAATAAAAGATTTAATATCTGTTCACTTTAGTATTAAGATTATCAACAAACTATTTCACTAACCACTTACTTTATTTCTAGATATTGCTTCCGCTTCAAATTCCAAGTTTGATCATCTCTGATGATCGTGGGGCGGTGGGGTAGCCTAATGGTTAAAGCGTTGGCTCGTCACGTCGAAGACCCGGGTTCGAATCCCCACATGGGTAAAATGTGTGAAGCCCATTTCTGGTGTCGCCCGCCGTGATCTTGCTGGAACATTGCTAAAAGCGGCGTAAAACCAAACCCAGTCAGTCAGTCAGTCTGATGATCGTTGTCGTTGTAGTCGGATTCATCTGAGAAAGTCTGCCCAGAGTCGTTTGTGGAGAAGCTGTCTGAGAAACCATGGCATCGTGTGTAGGTGCAGTGTGTGGAACACAGTAGCATTCCAAGCGACACCTTCGACTGGATGAAGTCGGCTGGTCTAAAATGTGAAACTGCTCAGGACCAGTCACTTCCCACTTGCAATCGCCTATTTGAGATTCTTAAAGACAATATTAACATGAAATGTCGACTTTGCAATGAATTCACAGAGACTGTCCAACACATTGTCAGTGGATGCCCTTCCTTGGCACAAACAGCATATCTTGAACGACATGATGGCATGGCTCGTTGCTTTTACTACCGTCTCCGCCATGCTTGTGGCTTTGACTCTGAGGTCCATCCATGGTACGACCCTGAACATGTCCAGGGCGACATGGAAAATGATGCTTTCAAACTTCTGTGGAATAGGCCTATATACAGCCTCAGAAGAATTTCAGCCAACAAACCTGATCTTGTCCTTTCTGAGAAAGCTAATGAATTTATTTATATCATTGAATTTTCTGTTGACAGCAACGTGATTGGCAAGATTCAGGAAAAGCATGATAAACATGCGGACCTCGCCTTTGAAATGTCTCGCTTGCATCCCAAGTACACTGTCGTCAGACTCCCCATTGTTCTCGGTGCCCTTGGTTTGGTACTTCCTGATCTCTTGGCGCAGATCAGGGGAGAGCCTGGGTTCTCCACCGGGAGCACAGCCCTAATGACACTCTGGGTAATGCAGAAGGCTGCAGTGTTAGGGAGTCTACACATTCTCCGGAAAGTTCTTGGTGGGTTCGACTAGGCAGCGTGTTTCCTGGGAGAAGTCCCATTCGCTGTTTGGGCTGGGGGCAAGGGCCCTGAGCTGATGATGAGCCTTACCAGACTGACTGTGCCAGGATCACCCGAACCCTCTCTGTTGCATTTTCATCTTTAATCTGTAAATAATAATAGGCTACCCCACCGCCCCTATTACACTGGAATCAATAACTTCTATTAGTTCAGCAACATTATCCGGGTAATTAACGGTAATAGTTTACATGTATCTGAATGTTATCTCTATAGCTCTAGCCTATAGTCACAGCGTTCCTTATACTAACTTAATGTCCCAGGGGAAAGAAGTTTACGGTAAAGAATAAGGTTGAGGTAAGGTTCAATTTAAACTCTATCTGTACTATGTTTCGATCAAAGAAACATACTCTAAAGATAACATACATCTAAGACGGAGTTCATTTAAAAAGTGTGCTCCCTCAGTGAATAGAATGCATGGGTGTAATACTTATCATTGCTTGAGGGGATTTGCGACAAAGACTTAGGTCAAATAAAGTGGGTAGCAAATACAGACATGAGTTGAGGTGAGGTGATGGGATGTGAAATATACACTCACGCTCAAGATTGCAGAAGTATACATTACACGTGGAGGAGGGTCGGGTGGCAGTGCGTGCGTGCGCTTCTACTAGTCCGGAAGTATGTCGGCATTGCCAGCGTTTTGAAATACCACGCCGCAGTCTATCCTAGGGTATCGGGCACAGGGCCACAGACTCCGGTTAGGACATTCCTTGTTTTAAAACATTAATGCCAAGCGCAGTGTAACAAGAAGTACTATTATGCATATGTATTTTGGTAATGTCCCGCCAGGCGATCGAATCACTGATCGCCCACTCTCCGGGCGGACGAATCCTGTCCACAACACCACGTATGTGCTATCAGGACGTGGACTTGTAGAACACATATTTCTGCCATGTCTTTACCCAGTTTAACCACTGCCCACCCAAGCTAGTTGACAAAATCATCAGCACCACCCTCCATCCAGCAAGAAAACGAGACACCATCAAAGCCGAACCAGCACCATCCGTATCTCTCTTCCCTTCACAAGAAAGAGCTCCTACCACATTAGCCGTCTCCTCAAACGACAGGCTGGCATCGAAACTCATTTCACCACCTCCATCCCACGGAAAACTCCACTCCAAGCCAATGACAGGAACACCTCCAAACAACAAAAACAAGTCTACAAGATCAGCTGTGACTGGTGAGGCCTATCTTGGGGAAACCTCCCGTCCCATAAACCTCAGAATTATAGAACACCTAGCATCAACCAAAAAATCACACCGTAAATCAGCTATCTCGGAACACATCATCACAACATCGAATGGGACAATGTGGAAATATTATCAAAACAACTCCAGGACTTCACCGAAAGAAAACTGGCAGTACAGTTCAAAACCGCCGACACAAGCCCGCAATCAACAGAGACCAAGGATACCTAATTCCTTCTGCTTACAATGAACTGATAAAAAAAACAGAACAAAGCACTCCAGCCATCATTGCTAATTAATACCATCTGCTATGTATACCTTGTTCCGCCTCCTCAACATTGGCTTCCTCCCATTGTTATTGTATTATTACTATTTCATTGTTGTTGTTCTTAATCCCTTTGATGTATTCCCCCATGTTGTCTTACTTAATCCCTGTTATATGTATATGAGTCGGTTCTGTGCTGTATTATATACTCTTGCATGACAACGGTATAAGAAGCTATACCGAAACGTCGCATCATAATAAATAAAGAAGTTGTTATCCATAAAATATTATACTTTTCTATTTTCTTCCACATATTTCTGGCTATTTTCGATATTGCTGTGTCTTTCGCCATGGAATGTTTGGGACCGTGGTAGATGTACTGATTTGTATGTACTGTGTAACACCTATATTTGGAATTACACTTTCTCAGTAAAGTACAGATTCTAGTGCTTTTAGTGGGTCCCATCCGGGATTCGAACCCACACTCTTAGAGTCAGGCACCTAATCTCAGTACACAAGTCAGCCGTCCAACCCACTCAGCCATCGCGGCTAACCAAAAAATGGAAGTCGAACAACTGGTAGTCTAGACCTCGGACTTTGTGTACCCCTCTGACAAGTATGTGTAGTATGTGTGTAGCATAATTCTAGTTACAGGTGTAGTATGTGTGTAGCATAATTCTAGTTACAGGTGTAGTATGTGTGTAGCATAAGTCTAGTTACAGGTGTAGTATGTGTGTAGCATACATTCTTGTAATGTGTGGATTATGTGTGCAGAAGATACATGTAAGTTGCATGTGTGTGAATAATTCATATTACCTTATAAATAAGTCTATGCAAATGCGAACTTGTAAATATCTGTGTGTGTATGCATGTGTATGGACATTTGTGTATGGTTTGATGAAAGAATTTATGTATACAACGGCAAGCCTATACGTTTGGAAGTGAATGTGTATATTGTGTAGATATTTAGTTAACCAGCTTGTAATTGCTTACCTGGAGATTCTCCGTTGTCCCTAGTTTTTGGGTAGTTCCTTCCATAAAGGCGCATCTTGTCTTTTTGTTTCTTTTATTAAGCCATATCATGGTTATGGCTTACTTTATTTTCCTTTCTGTTTTCTTTTCATTGTTTCACTCAAAATCATGTTACACAGTGTCAGTTGGCCTATACCTACATCAAATCACAACAAACGTGTTTACATGTATTAGTTACTTCAGTTCAGTTTGTGTGTGTCTACCTCCATGTAATCACCCACTGGAACCCACTGTCCTACCTGTTGCGACTATATGTATGATATTTGATTATGGCTGGTATTGAACAGTACAGACATGCAGTGGGTTCCTTTGCTGCAAAACTACATTCAAAATCTGCTGTCCGATTTATGAAATCCATACACAGTTTTAAGTTCTTGTGTCTCTATAGTACCCAAGTATCTGGTTAATTGCCTCTCTCATCCCTCTCTGCTGTGGCCGAAATATTTCAGAGACCTTAAAATGATACATTTGAACGTACGCAGTTTGAAAGACAAAACTGATTTACTTGACGCAGAATTTCGATCTTATGACGTTATATGTCTTACTGAAACTTGGTTGCACGCAGACATTCGCAGTGTTGATATAGCAATATCTGGATATCACCTACCATTCAGGAAAGATAGGCAAACGCGTGGTGGCGGTGTCGCGATGTATGTCTAGTGTTCCCCCTAGCTCAGAGAGGGCAGGATAAATTCATAGAAAAGGGCACTTCATAATCGAAAAGGGCATGTTGGTGAGGATTATTGAAAAAAATAACAAAATGAATATGAAGTCAAATTGTCTTATAATTTCAATTCTAAAGTTCATTATTTTCTCTTCTTATTTTGTATTTTAAGATTATAATTTGAAAAAAATGCTTTTCAAGACATTAATCTGTTATCACATTTGTTTGCAAATTCACAAAACACACAAACAACAATTTACAGTTTTCTTTTCTTCCTTGCCAAGTATTTGCTCACAACTTTCTTCAAGTCAATGTCTGAAGCTGAAGATGCATTCAGGCTAATCATGAGAAGCCTGTTGCAGTTTTCAACACTGAGTCTGTTTCTATGATCTGTCACAATCAATTTCACTTTTGAGAACACTCTCTCAACTTCAGAAGTGGGCAGAATCATTGTTGCGTGGATGGACAGTAATTGAACAATGTTCGGATACAAGTTTCCAAGTTGAGGCTTCAGGCTGGTGAGGGTCTTCAAAATGGAGGAGGGTGAACTGGTGTCAAGCTCCCCTGAAAACAGCTCCTTTACTTGACTCCACTCAAGCTGTGTCTGGTCGACGTCAAGTCCGAAGTGCTCTGCCAGCTGTGTTATCTGAAAAGAAACAAATGCATACATGTAATTATAATAAAATCAATTAAATCATTAAAATTAATCTTATTCCAGATAGAATTCCATTCAAATAGAGTACTGGTTATCACAGGTAAGCACTAACACAAATTACTTGATCATGGTTGTCTGGGACATAAAGAAGAATCTTCTAAAAGTCAAATGTTATGACAACAGTATCAATATAGATATATGTGATACCTCAGCATCCCCATGGAAAGTCAGGAAAGAAGGATCTCCATCCTTCCTCAGATCCAGCGCTGATAGGTTTGTGATGATGGGTGTGACCTGCATCCTCTCTTCCATGTTCTGTATCAGGTGATCGAGAAAGATGTCCTTTGAAGACTTTATATCTGTCCGTCTGCTCTCAGTCTTCTCCAGGTCATACAGGTTAGCAAGCTGATCAATGCGATTTAGATATGGGCCTGGCTTGTCTTTCATTTTTCTCAAAGATGCAGTGCTACTTTGTATTTGTGGTTCCAAAACACTCAAATCCAAATCCCTTCGCTCGAACAGCTTTGTTAGACCAGATAACAAAGAGCACACATCACATAGCAAGAGAATAGTGTAAAGTCTGTCATAAGACTTGAGCTGCCTGTAGAGTCCTTCAGCAGTGACACTCTGCTTATCCCCAGCCTTCTTATCATTGCCCATGCCTACAGCATTCTCTAAGTCAGCAAGGATTGATGGGTAGCACTGCCTCACTGCATGAACAGCCTTCTCATGACTGAGCCACCGGGTATGGACAGCCTTCTTAATTGTAATAGGACCTCTATTTGGTTCATCTGACGTGTCGCCTTCCATTTCTTTAGTCAACAGCTGCATCTTTTCCAAGCTTTTGATCTCACAGTGCTGTAATGGTAGTACTTGAACAGTCCCATCAGCAGTTCATCCACTCTTTCAATGAGTGTGACAGACTTGAATGCTGAACTAATAGCAAGCTGAAGTCTGTGATTAACACAGTGCACATCAATCAAAGCTGGGTTAGATTTCTTTAGCTGTGTCACAACACCATTCTTTTTACCTGTTATCACTGCTGGTCCATCACTTGCAAAACAAGTCATCTTCTTCTGGTCAAGATTTGCCTTCTCCACATAGTCTTTAACACTCTTCACTATCGTATCTGCTGTTCCATTGTCAAAAGCAACTTACACGCCAAGCATATGGACAACCTTGACACCCCCGGGCTCGAGGCGGTGTGGATACAGATAAAGTGTAAACACCGTTGTTACCTAATCGGATCCGTCTATCGAGCAGATAAGAGCGCGGGGTACTGGGATCTGATTGAGGAATCTGTCGGTAACGCCGTCGACCTGAACATGTATACTATCGTTGTCGGTGACTTTAATATAGACGTCCTTCGGGAAAATCGAACTAAAATAGATAACCTTCAAATGATGTATGACCTTAAACAGATTATATCAGAACCAACTAGAATTACACCACATTCAAGTACCCTGATAGATCTGATTTTTGTTTCGAATATTAAAGCTGTAAATGACTCGGGAGTCCTTGACCCTATCTGCAGTGACCATTGTCCGATATTTGTGAAAATCAAACAACTAATTCCCATCCTTATAAACTATAAGAGGAAAGTTTATTATTATTCGTTAGTTGATACTGTAAGTATGAACAAGAGTGTCGATGATATTGAAGGTGATATTTTATTTTCTTCCAATAATATAGATAAGATTACAACCGATTTAACATCCACAATCATGAAAATCTGCGGTCAACATATACCAAAAAAGACTGTCACTATTAGACCTGCAGATCCGCACTGGATGACCAGTCAAATACGTTCTTTGATTCGGAAACGTAATCGTCTGCATAAAATTGCAAAGAAATGTAACCATTCAACGAAGTGGGCTAACTTCAGATCAGCAAGAAATAAAGTTACTTCCGCTATTAGAACTGCGTTTCTAAAATTGAAGACTCTGTTAATACCTCGATCGGTACGAAAACGTGGTGACGTCTGACGAAAGGGTTCATAAAATCACGCAACAATGACAGTGAATCAATTTGGGACAATTATCTTTAACGATACAATCTATAATGACCCTGAAGAAATCGCAAATGTCTTAAACAATTACCTTATCGCTCAGTCGACTATTGCTGATCCAAATCGAGATTTGCCCGATACCGAGTTACCTTGTTACCCAAAATTAACTAACATTACTCTAACCCGCGATGACGTAAGAGATATTTTAATGTCACTGGACACATCAAAAGCGACGGGTCCGGATGGGATAGGAAATACAGTACTTAGATATACCGCAAATAGTCTAACATCCATACTTACGAAATTATTCAATTTATCCCTTAGCCTGTCAATTTTTCCCAGTCCATGGAAAGAAGCATCGGTAATACCTATTCACAAGAAACATAGAGTGCATGAATGTTCTAACTACCGCCCTGTCGCACTCACATCTTGTTTATCGAAAGTCCTTGAGAAATGCGTATTTAAATATGTATTCAATTTCTTAAGCGATAACGACTTAATGACAAATTTACAATCAGGATTCATGCCAGGAGACTCCACAACAAATCAATTAACCTTTTTGTACAACTTTATAGCAAAAGCTCTTGACGAAGGAAAAGAGGTTAGAGCAGTCTTCTGCGATATAAGTAAAGCCTTTGATAAGCTATGGCATAGAGGAATTATTTCTAAACTGAAAACCTATGGTATCAAAGGCGAACTATTAAAATGGTTTGAAAGTTATTTAGAAAAAAAGTACAACGGGTCGCAATTAACGGCTATAAATCAGACAAGAAAACTGTACTAGCTGGTGTACCTCAGGGCTCTGTCCTTGGACCACTTATTTTTCTGATATACATCAATGATATTGTATGTGATGTTGACAGTAACATTCGTCTCTTTGCGGATGACACCTCATTATATGTTATCATAGACGATCCATCAGTTGTTGCTACCTGTCTTAACAAAGATCTAGATAGAATTTCACAATGGGCCCGTAAGTGGCAGGTTACATTTCATCCAAATAAAACCGAAACTACTCAGTTCTCACGTAAAACGAAACCGTCTCTAAAATCGAACCTATTCATGGACGGAACAATCATAAAAGAAGTCAAAAGTCATAAACATTTAGGATTAATACCCCAAAGCGATTGTACATGGAATGATCACACTAATGATATTGTACGTAAAGTTCGCCCTATGATCAGTTGCCTGAGGTGTTTTAAGTACCGATTATCACGTAAAAAGTTGGATATTATGTATAAGTCCTATATCTTGCCAATATTTAACTATTGTTCGCATATTTTGGATAACTGTACTTCTGAGCAATCGCGTACATTAGAAAGTTTACATCTTGATGCTCTGAGAACTATATGTGGTGCCGTTCGTGGCACAAGTCATAACAAACTTTATAATGAAACCAAATCTCAGTCCTTGCAAGATAGACGGTATTGCCAGAAGTTAACTTTTTTCTATAAGATGTACAACAATCAATTGCCAAAATATCTTTGTGACCTGATCCCAAACTCCGTCTCCGGAACTACAAACTACAGCTTGAGGAATAACTCAATAATACAAGGAAATTACAGTCGCACTGCCTCTTATGCTAAATCCTTTTTACCTGCGACAATAAATTTATGGAATGCCTGCCAATTCCAAAGCGTCATGTAATCTCACAGAATTTAAAAACCTAATTACAATAACTGAAAATAAGATTTATTTTAACCTTAATTATGGCACTCGTTTTTGCCAAATCGTTCACTGCCGCCTCAGGCTCGGATGTAGCGACCTAAACACCGATAAGTATAACGGACATTTAATAGACAGCCCTTGTTGTTCTTGTGGACATCAGAGTGAAAACGCCCAACACTATTTCCTCACTTGCCGTAACTATACTCGGATAAGACTTAATATGTATTTTTACACTACCGGTTATAACCTGGATACCATTCTTAAGGGAAACAAAGAACTTATTCCCTGGGTAAACAAGAAAATAGTTGAATCCGTCCACTATTATATAATCAAGACTTCAAATCTTCAAAGGATATAAAACCATATTAATCACAGAGACCCTTGATTGTCAAACTTCCGTTTTAGCCCACTGTCTGATAGAGTGATTTGTCGCTCCACCATTGTCGCTCCCCACCATTCTCGCCATTCATTTGATCTCATAACGACCGATAATGCCAGCTAACATTTCTCAATACAGGCAATCGGTGGGTTTGTTCTCTCTAAAAATCTCTTCTGAAAAAACACATTTATTAAACTTTCGAAAGTTTGTAGTAATGATGACGTGCCTTTACGATGCTAGAATATCTCTACTCCTAACCTTATTGCTATTACTTTGTGGTGATATCCATCCCAACCCAGGACCAACGTGTCATACTGATCTTAAAATTATCCATTTAAATGCCTTTAGTGTAAAGATATAATTGAACTCATAGGTCTAGAACTGAACGAATATGACGTTATCTGTTTGACAGAAACCTGGCTCCATGAAGGTATTTTAGATAGTAATATTTTTATTCCAGGCTTTCAGTGTCCCTTTAGAAAAGATAGACTTACACGGGGCGGTGGGATCGCTGTTTACGTTAAGAACACATTCATCGCCAAACGAGTAGAAACCTTACATAAGATTGGTCTGGAAGCATTATGGATAGAGTTCCGCTACAAAAGCAGGAACTATCTAGTGGGTGTATTCTATAGAGCAGACAAAAGTGAGCAGTATTCGAACCTGTTAGATCAATCGATTGGAGATGCAATGGATATGGATTTAGATACAATCATTGTTTGAGATTTTAACATTGATATTTACAACAAATTAGACGCTAAAATAAACAATCTTATGGTGGCTTACGGTTTGCATCAACTTATAAACTCACCAACCAGAGTCACCCAAAACAGAAGAACCCTTATTGATTTGATATTTGTTTCTCGTCTCGATATGGTAAAAGAGTCAAATGTTTTAGAACCTTTTTGTAGCGACCATTGTCCAGCATCCGTAACAATAAAAGAATGTATGAAGTCAACGAAAATATATCTGAGAAAAGTTTACGATTACACATTGGTAAACAAAGACGATATCTGCTTCCACGTTGATAATACTGATTGGGAAAACGTACTGTCATCACCTGACATAAATGTGAGCACATTTGTGAAAACCTTATCTCATATCTGCGATCCAATATACCAAACAAAATTGTTACAATAAGATGTAAAGATACTCCCTGGATGAATAATAACATTCGCAAACGAAATCGACAACATAAAATAGCGAAACTACTAGGGGTATTCAGATAGCTCTATTATTACTACTCTGTTGTGGAGATATTCACCCTAACCCTAATCCTTTATCTTACCTCTATTTGACTATTGTTGTCATCTCTGGGACAATTGTACAAACGAACAGTCCTTGTCACTAGAAAACCTTCACTTAGATGCCTTACGCACAATATGCGCTGCAGTTAGAGGTACAAGCCATGCGAAACTATATCATGAGACAAACCTGACTTCCTCATCGAAACGGAGAGAAACTTCTAAATTAACATTATTTTACAAAATGGTAAACCATATGGTTCCTGACTATCTTTGTGATCTTGCTCCAGGGAATGTTTCTGATAACAGTAACAACAATCTTAGGAATAATGAAAATTATCAGACTATAAGATGCAAATCTACTAATTATGCCAAATCGTTTTTGTCCGATACAATTAAACTGTGGAATGACCTACATACAAATGCTACAAACGCTTCCTCTGTTGGACAGTTTAAGAATTCAATCACACCACAAGTTAATACCAACACAATGTTCGATCTAAATTTTGGTAGTCGATTTTGTCAAATAATACACTGCCGCCTTAGATTGGGATGCAGTGACTTAAACAGTGATAAGTATAATCGTTCATTTCTGATAATGCTTCTTGTTCCTGCTCACAAGATTATGAGGATGTATGCCACTGTTTTTTCATGTGTCCTAAATATAATACCATTCGATACGAATCGTATTTCTATGTGAAAGGTTTCTCCCTGCGGGATGTGCTAAATGGCAATAACTCAGTATCTCATCAGACGAATATGGATAGTCTATGGTCAGTCCACCAATTCATTATTACATCAAAACGTTTTGATTCATAGAGTTTTGTAGCTTCTCTTATTTTTTTATTTGTATCAACTGGCCACGAAACAAAACCAAGATTAATTGTTGATATCCATGATTGTTATTATTCAGAGATAACTTGTTATAACCACTATAAATATGTATTATGCACAAATGTGAACCTTCATATGTATTATGGAGTGGCATTAATATAAGCCATTTAGGCTTGTTTGCCAATCCTTTTCTTTCTTCTTGAATAGAAAAAAATATGTTTAAACCAGAGTGATTTGAGTGTTTGAAATTAATATTCAGCCATAAGGTTGGGATAACATTTCATTAATGTTCTCTGCTTCTATGGTATGTCACGCACCGATTCCAAAGACTTCTTCGGACAAACTGTTCCATGCACAGACTGAAGCTGACACACTTCAAATGGACAAAACTCCGTGAAAAGAACACAG